AAGTTTCTGTGTAATTTACTATTGTTTTGTTTCTCCAAGGTATATTTTTTTATGTCTTTCTCTGTCTTAAGTATAAATACGCTTGTAACCTTAGAGAGTCTGAGAAATCCTTTGAAACAGACAAGTGGGTGATTCCCCTTGCTGTATGGAATTCTCCCTGCGATCACAGTATAGCCCTAAATAAAGAAAAGCTGGCTCTGTCAGTTCTGATTCAACCACAACGCAAAGTTTGATTTCTTCCACAATTACTTATTGGTTTAACTATCTGTAATTAAAAGTTGTAAGCCAGTTGGATAGTAGTATGAAAAGGCTTTAAGTGGTTAAGCCTAAAATGCACTTAAATACTATTGAGATGGATGCTATACAAATTCCTTATATGGATATGACAAACTTCCAAACTTAGAAGGCTTTGATTCCCGAACCAACAGATTTAGTTTTAAAAAGTTAAAAAAATGAAACATTCTTCCTACCCTCCTTGGATTTAATTACTTGAGGGTAGAACACAAAGTGAATCAATTTAGGGTAAAAAGAGATGGGAGGAGGTGTGGAAATTAATTCACTCCTGTTAGTTATGACAACAAAAATGATTCCACTATTTTAAGACAAGTAACTTCAAATAAGGGTGATATAAATAATCCAATTAATTTTAACGTTAACTTATTGTCAGCATGTTGAACACAAAAATACAATTAAGTTATCAGACGAAAGATTCTCATAATCAAAAATAAAAAGAATACACAGGTAAGAGGTGAAGTGAGAAGGCAAACTGTGACAAAAGCTGTGACAGAGAGAGAAACAGATTCATCAAGAAGGATTTGAGTTACAGAGAAACTTGCACTTGTCAAAACAGGAGAACTCAAGAAAGTTAAAGCAAATTAACGAAAGTAATGAAGTCAACGTATTTAAGTTACACAGTGCTTTAACTCTTCTCTTTCCTTGACCCTATGGAAACACTGGTGCATAAATCAGCCTTATACTGCTGTAGCTAAATTAGGAAAATGTGGCTATGCTACAACAATCTAAAGTTAATACTTTCATTTTCAGTTTCTATTAGAACAGACCCATTATGAAGAAAGAAAATGTGTGTTGGGAGTGGGGGGGTTAGAGGGGATGCATGCATGAAAGAAAAAAAAACCTTTAAAATTCTTTTCACAACTGTTACAGGTGAATACATTTTTGTGCTTCATACCTTTGGTTTTCTTTGTCATCACTCATGCTTCTTTCTGGTTTTCTCAAGCTTCTGAAAGAGTCAATTTTAAGACTGCCAATACATAAAAAATGTAATTAGAAACATGATTAGTTTCTGTTTAGTGAAGAATTCATCCATGGCAACAAATATTTTCCATCTTGTGACTTTCCAGACTTCTGCTTCATGTAAAATAGATAGATTAAATAAATCCTCAGAGCACAACCTGAACACTACAAACATAGCCAGTCTCTATCCAAAAGTACTTAGAAGCAGTAGTTTCCCCTCTGCCCTTCTGTTTATTATGTATATTCAAAAATATACTTAAAAAGTCAAAATTGTAAAGCCTTATAGTGACAACAGAATTCTGATAATGGATTTTAAAATATTTTAATACAAGTAACTCAGGCACTACTTCAGTTTAAAGTCCACAGACCAGGTCTTTCTTTCATATAAACTACCATAGCTCCAACTGATTTTAGAGGTGAAACTGAGATTTTATATTAGCTGAAAACCTGTTAATTTATATAACAAAGTCCTTTTAGCTTCACAGCTAGAGAAAGCATGGCATACATCCCTTGACCCCAAAGGGCTCATTGCAGGCCAGATACAGAACACGGGAACCCTTGTGCGCTGGATACAGACTTGCCTCCAGTGGCAGGGCAAGTAGTGTCAGGGAGTGACAAGGGTAAATGCAAGTGTCATTTGTCCCTTTATTACCAACACACAGGTCCCCACTGGGCTGCTGGAATCTGGCAACGGCCCACTTAGAATCTGCAGACCCTCCAAGAGCCCCACAGTCCAGATGATATGGCTCTGCAGGTCATACCTGTGACACCCCTGGACTAAAATATATTTAAAGAAGGAATTCCTTACATTAAAGGGCATCCTTGAAAAGGCATCCTGCCAAGAGATCAGAGTCCCAGTATGTGGTTGCCAATAAAAAGCAGGAGTCTGCCCATATTTACCAAAGTAAGTTTTTAAAATACTATTCTAGTTTTTCCTTTGCTTAGAAGTGAGAATTATAATTTAGCAGTATTGACAAGTAATGTTTAATAGTAATCTCTATAGATAACTATCCAGCCTGGACAGGTATTCTCAACTAGACAGTTACTCAAGAGCCCAACATTGTGCCAAATTTCATTTTTTTCCCCAGAGAACCCTGTGGACAAATGGAAGCTATTTTCCAAATGCAAAAACTCTCTGTTGGCATACACCTGTTTTTGTTATTGAGATACACACAGATAGCCTTATTTGAGGTGGTATAATTGAAGAGTTACACAAACCTTATTTTGGTTCTTATCCAATATACTAATTTTACTACAATATACTAATTATACTATCCAATATATCCAAAATTATACTATCCAAATCCAATCCAAAATTATACTACAATATACTAATTATACTATCCAATATACTTAATTTTAAATGTGGCAGGATTATTTTTGTATTCTAACCACTTCTTTCTAGTTAGAAGCTCTGCTTTGTTCCTCCAGTCACTTCTCAGCATCTGATGAAGTGAGCTGCTACTTACGAAAGCTTATGCATCTCTGATTTAGGTGTAAATCTACCCTGCCTTCTGCCCAATTTCAGACTAAGAAGGCTAAATATCCTTCTCACAAAAAACCTTTGAGAAGGCTGAGAGTTTCTAAATATTCTGTTATGTGAACTCTAAACACTGAAAGTCAAATTCTTGCTGGCTATGTGCCCTTAAAAAGCCTCCATCCAAGAAAAAAAAAAGAGAGCTATATTCAGTTTCTTCAGACATACAGGGGTTGTCCATCCAGGTTCTTTACTCTTGATAAGAACTGTAGAGGACATTTGCCAGATGGCAGCTTCTGAGACTTATTTTTGGAAAGGATTTCATGACCAAAGTTGGTGCATCTTATATTGATGCAAGCACCATGGTTTCCTAACATAGAAAAGATGTGGATTGTTCCTGGTCCTAAAAAAAGGACCAAGAAATTGAGAGAGAGACAGATACTTTTGCACCTAACAGAGTGGCTTGGAATACTTGCAGTGTAAAGAATAGTTGATAAATTATTGTGCTAAAAGAGATTCCTAAGAAGAACTTACATATCGTAGTGATCCACTCTTCACGTCTCTACATAATAATAGCATTTTTAAACAAGCTGTGCTATATAATATTCTACTCTTTCACATCAAATATAAGAATATTGTGACAACAGCAAGGTTGGTGAACTAAAGCAAATATTTCATATTTCACATGAACAAGCACATGAATAAATAAATAATAATGAAGAGCAAAGAATTTCTTACCTCTGAACAGGTACTATTGGATTATTGACCAGGATAGCTGTTGGTCTGTCAGAATGGGATGATTGACTTTTAACTTCATCCTGATACAATCCTGCCAAGGCCAACTATAAGAAACACCAATGTTTTTTCAGAAAGTCTTTAACATTAGAAGTGTAAACTGCACAAAGAACACAGGATTAAACATAACTAATACAATGTGTGCACCTCAGTGATACAGGACAACCAACATTAATATGAGAGAAATAAATGATTTGTAAACTGATGTTCTTGATTTTGTGTCTCTGTGCTCCAACATAAACAAGATTGCACTTAGTTACACATTAGAAAACACACAAGTCTGAAGTACTTAAATATGTCAGGACTACCTTGGATTCAGAATGACTTGAGACTTAATACAGAAGCATCAGTTCAGGATTCATTATTGATACAGGTTATGACAAACAAGGAGGTTCTGTATACTCATGCCAAACAAGAGGCCACTTTACTTCTGATAAAGCTCATGAGTGGAATAACTTTGAATTTATTTTTTTAGCTCTTACATAAAATACTAACAAGGAAACATAGCTCCAATTCAGCAAAGTACTTAATCCTATGTTTAATGCGTCTTCAGCACGATTAAAATCACAGGCCCAAAAAACAAGGCTGCCAATCCCTTTATTGAAGGTTCTCTTCGTGAGTAGTCATACGTGCTGCCATTTCTCTGACAGATTCAGTTTTAAAGAATCTGTGGGAGGCATACTAAATATGCCATTTTTGGTAGCTCATCTGTTACTATATTGAACACCATTTACTCAGTTTACAAAAAAATATTAAGATTTCCTTTTCCAACCCACAGTTCGGTTTTGCATTTCTCTAGATACACAAATGGCACTAAAATGTCATCATGCTCACTGCTGGAGGTGCTGTACAGTGGCAATTCGGGTACTACTTGGTTCACAAAAGCAACCGCTGCAATAAGACCACTGTCATCTGCTCTTTACCAGGTGGGGTCTGCGGCACTCACTGCATTCCAATTACCTCAGCAGTGAGCCAGGCATTTTCCAGGAAAGCACTGAAGAACTGAAGGCTATTAACAAAGTCACAAATTTGTCACCAGGCCAAGCTCACATTGCATGTGCATGCCACTGAGCTGTACAGGGGGCCAAAGGTTGTCTTCTCTCAGAAGCCAATGAAAAAAACACCTGCTCAAAAAATCCCTACTGGTATTTAACTAATAAGCTGGTGACACATTGCAAAGAATGAAAACAGAGAATCAGCCTTTGAATTACACTTGAACTTTTGGGGGGGGAGTGGTGCAAAAAAAAACTGGGCTGTCTATCACAATGTCCTAATAAAATCAGAGAGCCCCTGGTTATGATTTTCAAATCTTATAGGTGGGCACTTGTCACTTATAGGGGGCTCACTCCCCAGCTCTCCTCCAACTTGAACCCTGCATAAACCTACTGGTGCAGAGTTGATTTTCTGCATGGAAGTACTTGCTCCTCCTGCTGCGGAGACCTAGGTCCCTCGCCTCCTCCAAAAGGGAAGCAGAGGTTGTATGCAGGGTCTCCTCAGCCGTGAGAGGCAACCCAAGGCCCTTGTACCCTGGTTCCCACCCAGGGCAGCCTGGAGGTCCTGCCGGGGGTAGTGCCGCTGGGCACCCAAAGGTGATACAGGGGATAAACCCAAGCCGGGCTCCTTTCTGTGCCGGGCGAGCCGCTCTGGAGTCACAGCCCACGTGAAAACTGGGAGCCGGCGCTTCCCGCGGGGTCTCGGCTGCAGCCTGGGCTGCCGGAGCCCGGGAAGCGCCGGGCTCGCAACAGGGCTCCGGCAGG